TGAGTCCGGATGGGTCTACTGGGTTTGATATGGTAAAACTGACAGGATTACATGTAAGGGGGGTCTGAGGTTTACTAGTGGACTACATAAAGCACCAGAGTGGTATGGGAACACTGCCAATATGGACAGTAGAACTCCCCTACATTGTCACAGTCCCCCTTCTGTCAGTATTTCATACATAGATATTTGTAGTCAGTGGCATAGGCCCAATACCACTCACAGCAGCTACACCACTCCGGGGCCATGGCCGAGCAGGCATCGAAATCGAGAGTGACACTAGAGCAGTGGTTCTCAACCTTCTGGCTCTTTAAATACAGTTCCTAATGTTGTGACCCAACCATACAATTATTTTTGTTACTACTTCATAACTTTTATGTTCCTACTGTTATGAATCATAATGTAAATATATGACACCTGAATCCAGGGATCACAGTCTCCTGGTCATCTGAACTGTTTCAGGGGTGTCCTTTATGTGAATATTTTTTTGTGCCCTTCTGTTGTAGTAAAGCTTTGATTAATTTTTGCATGGTGAGGTGAGGATGTCTCTCAGGCTGACTTGTTGTGAGGGTTCCCCATGACCACAGCGGACAAGCTGCCATGCTGAGGCGAACTTCAAGCAGCAGGAGTCACTTTAGCAGGGCTCTGGTTCTGGCTAAGTTTGTCCTTTGGATGTGTTGTTTGTGGAGCTGGTTGGGTGGTGCTGTTTTGTAGTTTAAAGCCTGCCACTGGGTATATTGTTTCTGGGGGCTGTTGAGAGGGGCAACAGTATAGGACACATTCAGCCCCCTTGCTTGGGGCTTCCTGGGAGGAGCTACACAGTGGTGAGCTTGGTCTGCACTTGTGCTGACCTCAGAGGCACTGGGGATGCTACGCTGTGAACTGAGGCCAGCTGCCTCTTGTGCTGCAAAAGGACCCTTTGGTGGTCACCACAATGTGAACTGAGGCCAGTCACTCCTTTGCAGGATATCTTACTGCAGCTACGTTCCAGTCAGCCAAGACTGGCCCCTGCTTATGTCAGGCCTGGGGCCACCTGGTGGGAGTTACAATGCAAGGTATGACCAGGCACCTCTTGTGCTGGGCTTGGGAGCACTTAGCAAGGGGTATAGGGCATGCCGAGGCCAGTCATTATTTTGGGGGAGTTAGTGGACCTTTGTAAGGTTTTAGTAAAGTCCACAGCACAAAACAAGGGCAGCTGCTCTTGTGAAAAATCTGGTGGAAGTGGCTCAGGCAGGACAGGTAAGTTAGTTGGGGCAGGGTTTCAGGGAATCTCCAGGGCAGGGTGAATAGTGGTAGCCAGGCCAATGAAGAGCACAGATTTGGTGCCCACATACATCAGAGCTAGGTGGAAGGAGAGTTTCACAAAAGAACAGTGGTGCAAGCCAGCCCGTTTGTCCCCACAGAGAGCTGCCCTGACCCCTGCCTCTCCAGCTCTTGTCTGAAGCTAGTCCATTTATTTCCTTCCCATATGTCCCTTGTGTTTTTTAGCTGCTTCCCCTGTACTAGAGCATAGAGCAAGTGAGTCTGTGAGCAAGTGAGTCCATCTTTGGGTCCCTCAAGAGCAATGCCTCATCTCCAACAGCCTTCCATCTCACTCAGATGCAATCCCTGGTGGTTTGTACAGCTAGACATTATGAAAACTCCTCTTTTCAGCACTAGTGTCCAGGCTGAGGGCCTGGTGTGGGGACTGGGCCCCTTCGCTTCTCAGGGGGGACCTCCACAGCTAAGATGTGCCTCTAGGCTTTTCATCCCCACACTGCGGGTGTGGGAAATGCCCTCTGTATCTGTACCCTGCCTACCAGCTTCCCTATGGCATGTCTCTTCTTTATACCCTTAGTTATGGGACTTCTGTTCAGAAAGTAGTCAGGTGGTTCTCAATGATGATTTTCTATAAACCAATTGTAATTTGTATACATCACACCTTATATTTATATGGCCTTATAAATAAGTATAAAATATGTCATTCATAAATTTGTTATTTTTTAAAATAAAAAGCCTTTGTTTTGAAGTATAATCAATATATAACATTATATTAGTTTCAGGTATACAACATCATGATTTGATATTTGTATACATTGCAAAATAGTCATCACACTACGTCTAATTAACATCCATCACCATATATAGTTACAAAATTGTTTTTACTTATAATGAGAATTTTGAAGACCTCTCTTGGCAACTTTGAAATATGTAATAGAGTATTATTAACTACTAGAGGCCCAATGCACAAAATTCGTGCAAGAGTAGGCCTCCCTTCGCCAAGCTACCGGCACTGGCTTCCCTCTGGCACCCGGGACCCGGACTTCCCTCTCAGGCTCAGCTTTGTCTGGAAGGTCGTCCGGGAGGACATTTGATCTAATTATCATATTACACTTTTATGATCTGGAGCTCAGGCCTCCTGTGCTTTCCAACAAAGTCTTACACAGCAACTGTGGTACCTCATGATGTCTGAGGTCCTGAGAGGGCCCTGGCCCCCCTGGGGCTGCCTGTATCAGACTGAAATGTGATGGAAACCCTGGAAAGAAGCTCCCTCATTGTCTTTTAGATACATGTCATCCTTCTCCCTCAAAGGCATTTTCTGTGATTATTTGCTTTGCCAATTAGAAAGCCCTTCACTGGAATTCACTAATGAAGCTCCCAGCTCCATGGAATGGTATCCTGGGCCATTAGATGCAGAGAAAAATGTTAGGGTAATTGCTCAAGGGCAGACAGTTTCAATCTGAAGTTAATCTAGACATTAAAGATGCTAGTTCTAAAATTTTATTCCCTTTCTGAGACTAAGTTGTAATTCTTTTGTATATGGCTTATGAAGTAGTTTATTCATTCATTCATTCAATACACATTTACTGAATATCAATTTCTACCAGGTTAGATGTTAGAGAAATTAACATAAACACAAAGTGTTCTACACCAGCAATGACTTTAGTCTAGAAGGAGAGATAAATACAAATAATTACAATGTCACATGACTAATGTCCTGTTAACATAAAAAACATTCAAACCTGTAAAGAACGTTTGTCAGTTTATTTGAGCCAAACTGTCGACAATTGCTGGGAAGCAGAATCTTAATGGTTTGGGGTAATGCTCCGGAGAATGGTGGTTTCTCACCTTATGTTATATATTAGTCAAAGGAGACATACGTGGGTTACATGAACTCCAATGCTGATAGATTAGGGAGGCAGGAGAAAGCAAAGCAGGGAAACCTCTGGGATTGGATAAAAAGTGAAATGATAAACACACTTCTTTTACTTAGGTGGGTGCAGGATAGTTAGGTCAACAGTTAACGTGATAACAATAACAATGAAGGAATTTATTATCTTATTCCTTGGTGTCAGGAGTATTTGGTTGTGCCCTGAGGGGTCTGGAAAAAGGGAAGTTACAAGTTACCCTGACATTTCACAGGGAGGTTATCTTAGATGCAAAAAAACAATAGGCTCAGTTAAGGTAAAGAGTGACCTTTGACAGGGAAGATACTGGCCTAGGACATGACTACCCACCATAACTGCTTTTAGTTCAAGTTTTCATTTCAGACCATCCCTTGTAGTTACTTTAGGTCTCTGAGTTTACAAGACGGCCATGCAGGCCTTCCCTGAGCTGTCAGGTTAGCACATGGCCTTTTTCATCTACAGCCCTCACAACAACCCTAGAATTGATGTCATTATTGTCTCCATTTTCCAGATGAGGCAAAATCGTCTCTGAGAGGAGCTGGAGCTGGCCTGCCTCCAGGCTGCCAGCTTGTAGCCTCTGTGGCCAACTGACTAGCACACATATAGTGTACC